TTAGCTGACATATCTCCCATGCAAGGGAAATAAAGGAAAAAAATAAACAAATGGGACTATATCAAATTAAAAAGCTTTTGTGTGACTAATGAAACCATCAGAAAAATGAAAAGAGAACCAACTGTATGGGAGGACATGTTTGCCATGATACACTGGACAAGGGTTTAATCACCAAAATACATAAAGAACTCATATGACTCAACACCAGGAAGACAAACAAACCAATTAAAAAATGGACAAAGGACCTAAACAGACACTTCTCCAAGGAGAACATACAGAGGTCCACAGACAAATGAAAAAATATTCATCACTAGCCATCAGAGAGATGCAAATTAAAACCACAATGAAGTATCACCTCACACCTATCAGAATGGCTATCATTAATAAATCAACACACAGCAGGTATTGGTGAGAATGTGGAGAAAGGGAACCCTAGTGCACTGTTGGTGGGAATGCAAGAGTGGTGTAGCCAGTGTGGAAAACAGTATGGAGTTTACTCAAAAATTTAAAAGAGGAACTGCCGTTTGACCCAGTGATTCCACTGCTGGGAATATACCCTTAGAATTCCAAAACTCCACATCAAAAGAATTTATGCCCCTCTATGTTCATAGCAGCATTATTTACAATACCCAAGATTTAGAAACAGCCTAAGTGCCCATCAGTACATGAATGGATTAATAAACTGGTACATTTACACAATGGAATACTATGAAGCAGAGAAAAAGAAAGATTTCCCACCTTTTGTGACAGCATGGATGGCACTAGAGACTATTATGCTAAGTGAAATAAGACAATGAAAGACAAATATCATGTGATCTCACTTACAAGAGAAATCTAATGAACAAAACAAACTAAAGAGCAAAATAGAACCAGAGGCATAAAATCATGAAATAGACTGACAGGTGCAAGAGGGGAGGAGGGCAGAGCGGACTGACTGAAAGAAAGTGAAGGGCTTAGTCAAAGAACATATATGAAGGACTCACGGACAGGGACAATGGTGTGAGGAGTAACTATGGAAGTGGGAAACAAGTGGAAGGGGGAAAAATTGGGACAACTGTAATAGCATAAACAATAAAACATTAAATTTTTGTTATTAGCTGAAAAAAGAAAAAATATCTCAATAGGTTTATTACATCAAATGGAAAGTACTCAGAAGGTACCTGAAGTTTAAACAAGTAAGAATAAATATACAATTTTTATAAATAAATTCAATTTTGGGGATCCCTCTTGTAGGTGACCAGTTAAAATCTACAGAGTGCACTTATTTTGAATGGATCAATACACATAATTTTTGGTAGAAAGTAACAGAAACTCTTGGCTGCATTACAACAATCTTTAGATTGTTGTAGTCTTGATTTAGTATGTAATCAGGCAATACCAAGGCTTTCCCAAAGCCTATTGATTGGAACAAAATTCAAGCTTGTTCACAAAAGTCTGATGAACTTGCTCATGACTGTTGTAATTCAGATTGTTTTCAAAGAAAATTCTGGTTTTACTTTTTTTTCTTAATCCTCATCCAAGGACATTTTTTCACTGTTTTTAGAGAGAGACAAAGGGAGACCGAGAATTATCAATGCAAGAGATATGCATCAGTTGGTTGTCTCCCTTAAGCAACTGGACTAGGGATTGAACCAACAACCTAGATAAGTACCCTGACCGGGAATTGAACCTACTACATTTTGATTATGGGACGACACTCCAACCAATTGAGTCACACTGGCTAGGGCTGGTTATTCTTTAGATGTTGATTCTACTTGAATAACTTTTAACTCTTTTTATCAACTGTTTGAATTGAGACCTTCCTCTTTTAGTTAAAAGGACCAGGATGAAAAACTTCTGGCCAAGATGCAAGCATAGGTAGACACTGTGCCTCCTCACACAACCAAAATAAGGACAATAATTTAGAAACAAAACAAAAACCAGAAGTGACAGAAAATTGAACTGTATGGAAGTCCGACAACCAAGGAGTTAATTAAAATAGACATATTCATCCAGACCCGTAGGAGGGGCGGAGTTGTGCAGTGGAGCAGAGAAGGGTCACGGCAAAAAAAGTGGTGGCACCAGGCATGCAAGGCAGCAACTGACAAACCCGGGCATACAAGTCTGCAGTGGATGGCCCCTGGGCATGCAGGTGGCAGCTGGCAGACCCCAGGCACGTGTTGAATGGCAATGGGCAGACGCAGTGAGGCGGTGATTGTGAAGCGGGGTACGGTGCGCAAGGCAGCTGGCTGATCAGGTGGTCCCACATTCCTGTGCAGATAAACTAGGCAAAACTGGGGAGTGAGACAGATGGAGCAACCCAGAGTCCCAGGAAATAAAGTCTCAAATAAAGTGAGGAAATAAAGTCTCGAAACACCAACTGAAAACACCTTTGGGGGTTGAGGTGCCGAGAAATTCCCAGTGTCACAGGAGAGTTCATTGGAGAGACCCACAGGGTCCTAGAACGTATACAAGCACACCCACCGTGGAATCAGCACCAGAAAGGCCCAGTTTGCTTAGGGGAAGCGGTGGAAGGGACTGAAATCTGACAGAGGAGCCAGCACCATTGTTCCCTCTCAGACCCTGCCCCCACATACAGTGTCACAACCCAGTGAAGTGGGTTGCCCCAATCTGGTGAACACCTTAGGCTCTGCCCTTCATATGTAACAGGCATGACAAGACAAAAAAAAATGGTCCAAACAGAAGGACAGAGCAAAGCTCCAGAGCAAATACAACTAAGCGACAAAGAGATAGTCAACCTGTCATATGCACAGTTCAAAACCCTGGTGATCAGGATGCTCACAGAACTGGTTGATTTTGGTCACAAATTAGATGAAAAAATGAAGGCTACAATAAGTGGAATGAAGGAAAATGCACAGGGAACCAATAGTGATGGAAAAGAAACTCGGACTCAAATCAATGGGGTGGACCAGAAGGAAGAAAGAAACAAACAGAAAAGAATGAAGAAATAAGAATTCAACAAAAGTTAGGAGAGGCTTAGGAACCTCCAGGACATCTTTAAACGTTCCAACATCCAAACTATAGGGGTACCAGAAGGGGAAGAGGAAGACTAACAAGTGGAAAAGTTATCTGAACAAATAATAAAGGAGAACTTCCCCAATCTGGCAAAGGAAATAGACTTCCAGGAAGTCCAGGAAGCTCAGCAAGTCCCAAAGAAGCTGGACCCAAGGAGGAACACACCAAGGCACATCATAATTACATTAGCATAGTGATGCTATGGTAAAAATGAAGGAGAGAATCTTAGAAGCAGCAAGAGATAAGGGGTCAGGAACCTACAAAGGAGTTCCCATCAGACTGTCAGCTGATTTCTCAAGAACTTGCCGGCAAGAAGGGGCTGTAAAGAAGTATTCCAAGTCATGAAAGGCAAGGACCTACATCCAAGATTACTCTATCCAGCAAAGCTATCACTTAGAATGGAAGGGCAGATAAAGTGCTTCTCACATAAGGTCAAGTTCAAGGAGTTCATCATCACCAAGCCTTTATTTTATGAAATGTTAAAGGGACTTATCTAAGAAACAGAAGATAAAAAAACATGTATAGTAAAATGACAGCAAACTCACAATTATGAACAACCACACCTAAAACAAAACCAAAAAACAAACTAAGCAAACAACTAGAACAGGAACAGAACCACAGAAATGGAGATCACATGGAGGGTTAGCAACAGGGGAGTGGGAGGAAGAGAGAGGGGGAAAAGATATGGAGAATAAATAGCATAGATGGTAGGTAGAAAATAGACAGGGCAGGGTAAGAATAGTATGGGAAATGTAGAAGCTAAACTTATGACCCATAGACATGAACTAAAGGGGGGGAATGTGGATGGGAGAGGGTGTTCAGTGTGGAGGGGAATGAAGGGGGAAAATGGGACAGCTGTAATAGCATAATTAATAAATATATTTTTAAAAAAGAAGTTGAGGATCTAAGCCACAGTAGGTTGGGTGGGGAAATGCATGCGATGTCCATGTACACAAAGAGATGAAAAAACTCCCAGACAAGTTACAAAGCAATCTGTGTTGCTTTGGGTGAGGACCACAAAGCTAGAATGACCTGGGAGGCACAGCAGGCAGTTTGGTGAAACGTCACCGGACCTGAAGGCCCTGGAATCCCGCTGACTAAGGTTGAAATCCCAAACCTGTGTCTTGCTGCCAATGTGATCTCAAACGAATCCCACTTTGCTCACCAGTTCCTAAGGACACGATTAAATGAAGTACATCCTGAGTACTAAATTAGCGTCAGCTATTGACATTAAAAGCTCATGAATTGACTCAGTTTGAGTCTTTCCCCCCAGAATATCAGTTCTTTCTTGTGTTGGAAACTACTGTTTTTTAAGTTTGTAAAATACTTTGTACATAGGCACAATACAGCACCCGTTTCAGTACTCAAATATAGAAGTAAATGCTTAAGCCTTGTTCTTTAAAATGAGTAGACATGGTCATGCCCATAGATCTCAGAATTAGAGATCACTGAAATTATTTGGTCAGCTATACCAACATCACTCGAGAATTTACAAAAGAGAACTGGGCCTGGCAAGGCTGAGGCCGATCCAAGATCACTCAGTTGTAGAGCCATAACTAGAACCCGGGAGGAACTCTAGATTCTGGTCTAAACTTCTTCCCTACTCTTTAGTACTGCAGCAATCTTCCCTAATCATCAGGAAGCAATCACCAGCTGACATCCCTCAGAAGATGTCCGCTCTACTAGACCAACAAAAGCGCCAGCGCTCTGGAGTTCATCATCACTAGGGTTCAGAAATCGCTCCCTGAGACTGGGCGGGACTGGTGCGCTGCGGACCCTCCCCCGCCCTGTTCCTTTTGGTGGAGAAGAAAGTGCCCTGGAAAAAGCCGAGCCTGAGAGAAGGTGAGAAGAGTGGGGCGGGCAGTGGCCAGGGGCGGAGACTGAGCGCCACCCTATAGAAAGCGCCTCAAAGCAGATCTTGCAGAGCTGCGTTCCCGCGGGGCAAGGCTCTGGCAGTGCTGCTTGGGCAGTGCTGCTTGGGCTCTTGTAGAGCAAGGGCTGAGCTCGGCCGCCCCGCGTGAGCTGCCAAAGGAGCGCTTCGTCAGCAGGGCCATGCGCTAGGCTCCCAGCCCACCGCTGCGCACCGATGGGCTGCTCCTGGAACACCAGCGACAGCGAGGAGGACGCGCAGGAGCCACCGTGGGCCGCGCGGCTGCCCTGCGATGAGCACCGCTGCTCGCCCTTCCCCCTGAGGGCACTGGTGCCGGTGACCGCCGTGTGCCTGGGCCTGTTCACTGTCGGGGTAAGCGGCAACGTGGTGACGGTGCTGCTGATTGGGTGCTACCGGGAGATGCGGACCACCACCAACTTGTACCTGGGCAGCATGGCAGTATCCGACCTGCTTATCCTGCTTGGGCTGCCCTTCGACCTGTACCGCCTCTGGCGCTCCCGGCCCTGGGTTTTCGGGCCGCTGCTCTGCCGCCTCTCTCTCTACTTGGGCGAGGGCTGCACATACGCCACGCTGCTGCACATGACGGCGCTCAGCGTCGAGCGCTACCTCGCCATCTGTCGTCCGCTCCGAGCTCGCGTGGTCATCACCCGGCCCCGCGTCCGCGCGCTCATCGCAGCCCTCTGGGCCGTGGCGCTGATATCTGCTGGGCCATTCTTCTTTCTGGTGGACGTTGAGCAGGACCCGGGCGTAAACGCGTTCTCAGACCTTAACAGCACCGCACAGCTCACTCCCTCGCCACGCGCCTCACCACCACCTACGGCGTCGCCCCTCCGGTCCTCTCGAGTGCTGCTAACTCTATCCCCGCTGTCGTGGCGCCAGGCAACGGAGGCCGAGGCACTGTTCAGCCGCGAGTGCCGGCCAAGTCCTGCCCAGCTGGGCGCGCTTCGTGTTATGCTGTGGGTCACCACCGCCTATTTCTTTCTGCCCTTCCTGTGCCTCAGCGTCCTTTACGGACTCATCGGGCGGGAGCTGTGGAAGAACCGGGGACCGCTCCTTGGCCCTGCAGTCTCTGGGCGGGAGAGGGGCCACCGGCAGACGGTCCGCGTCCTGCGTAAGTGCAGACCTATGTGTTCCAAACACAGCAACCCGCTAGTCTCCCAGACCTTGGCACCTCCCCTAGCTACGTCCCCAAGGCGTCTCTGACGATGGGATACTCAGGTCCTCTAAACAACAAAGATTTTCCAGAGCCTCTAGGATCAGCGAGCCAGGCTGATCCAGGACAGGAAATTGGAGGCTTTTAAGGCAACTGCCTGTCCCCATTAGATACTGCGAATGTGGATCTCACAGTATCCTTCAGAAGATAAGGTAGATGACATTAAGCTAAAATTTCTTTACTTAATGCTAAGTTTTCCTGAAGGTTAAAGTGAACTATGCCTATTCCAAAATTAAGATTGTGCAGACCTGTTACAATGTCGTTGTTGTAGTTGTTGTTATTGTTTTCAACAGAGAGGAGAGTAGGCGTCTTTAAAGTGGCTGTGGGGAAGGAAACCTGCCAGCTTGTTAGGAGAAACAGCTCCTTCTGTTTTTATGTCCAGCCTTGATAACACATACATGGGCCAAATATTTGGCTTTAAAGCAAATATAGATGCTGTCTGCAGTCTGGTAGTTTTCTGGGCTGGGGATTTGGCTAGGTCAAAGCTTTATGGAATTTGTTTTGTTGTTACTTATTACTTTCGATGGCTTTTCAGGGGTCCCTTTTTTGTTTTCCATCGCTTTAGCTAATTCTGGTGCCTGTGTCTTGTTTTGCAGTGTTGGTGGTTCTGGCATTTATAATTTGTTGGTTGCCTTTCCACGTTGGCAGAATCATTTACATAAATACAGAAGATTCTCAGATGATGTACTTTTCTCAGTACTTTAACATTGTTGCGTTGCAACTTTTCTACTTAAGTGCATCCATTAATCCAATCCTCTACAACCTCATTTCAAAGAAGTACAGAGCTGCGGCTTGGAAACTACTACGGTGGAGACAGTCCACACAGAGAGGTTTCATTAGGAGCAGAAACACACAGGGGACCACGGGAGGAAACGCAGCTGGCTACACCGATACCACCATCAGCATATCTACGCCTGCCACAAGCATGGCCAACCAAGTCGTGTCCTCCCACAGTTCTGGGACTTCAGAGAAAACAGGTCTGTAGGGTGTAAGGACTGAAAGGGGGGAACTGGTGCTGTTGGGAGGAATTAGAAAGTGGTTGGTATTTAGCAAATTGGCCAGTAACTTTGTCAGCATGATTGTTTTTCAACCTAGGTACAAAAAGAAAGTGTACCAATCTTTCTAGCTTGTTTGTTGGTTTTTCTTTTTCTTTTTCATTTACCTCCTAAGAAATGTTCATTTTAGACTCATGAAATCCCACCTCACAAAATGTGCCCTTTGGATGTTTTACAAGTCTTCATTCTCCTAGTCTTTGAAAATATGGTTGCTCATTTTACATTTAATAAGATACAGAGAGATGAGATCAAAGATGTATTTTGTTTCTATGTTTTGGATATAAATGTAATGATGTATATACAGGGAACCCAGGATAATGACAGTATTGACCCAAGAAAATATCTTTTTAATTTTTAATTTTTTAATTTTAATGTTTTATTGATTATGCTATTACAGTTGTCCCATTTTTCTCTCCCCTTTATCACCCTTCACCCTGTACCCAACCTCCCACCATTATTCCCTGACCTTAGTTCATGTCCGTGGGTCATACATATGCATTCTTTGGCTTCTCCATTTCCCGTACTATTTTTAAATCCCTACCATTTATGCTGCTTATTCTCTGTACTTTTCCCCCCATTCTTCCCCCTCCACCTCCCTGCTGATAACCCTCCATTTGATTTTTATTTCTGTGGATCCATTCCTGTTCTAGTTGTTTGCTTAGTTTGTTTGTTTTAGGTTCATTTGTTGATAATTGTGAGTTTGTTGTCATTTAACTGTTCATATTTTTTATCTTCTTTTTCTTAGATAAGTCCCTTTGACATTTCATATAATAAGTGCTTGGTGATGATCAACTCTTTAATTTGACCTTATCTGGAAATCACTTTATCTGCCCTTCCATTCTAAGTGATAGCTTTGCTGGATACAGTAATCTTGGATGTAGGTCCTTGCCCTTCATGAGTTGGAATACTTCTTTCCAGCCTCTTCTTGCCTGCAAGGTCTCTTTTGAGAAATCAGCTGATAGTCTCATGGAAACTCCTTTGAAGATAACTGTCTCCTTTTCTCTTGCTGCTTTGAAGATTCTCTCCTTATCCATAATCTTGGGTAACGTGATTATGATGTGCCTTGGTGTGTGCTTCCTTGGGTCCAACTGCTTTGGGACTCTGAGCTTCCTGGACTTCATGAAAGTCTATTCCCTATGCCAGGTTAGGAAAGTTCTCCTTCATTATTTGTTCAAATAAGTTTTCCATTTCTTTTTCTTCCTCTTCTCCTTCTTGCACCCCTATGATTCAGATGTTGTAATGTTTAAAGTTGTCCTGGAGGTTCCTAAGCCTCTCCTCATTTTTTTGAATTCTTGTTTCTTCAATGTGTTCTGGTTGAATGTTTATTTCTTCCTTCTGCTCCAAACTGTTGATTTGAGTCCTAGTTTCCTTCCCTTTACTGTTGGTTCCCTGTATATTAGTCTTTATTTCACTTTGCATGGCCTTCACTTTTTCCTCCATTTTGGGACTATACTCAGCCATTTCTGTGAGCATCCTGATTACCAGTGTTTTGAATTGTGCATCTGATAGGTTGGCTATCTCTGCATCACTTAGTTTTATTTGTTTCTGGAGCTTTGTTCTGTTCTTTAATTTGGGCCATATTTTTTTGTCTCAGCATGCTTGTTATGTAGTAAGGGGTGGAGCCTTAAGTATTCAAAGGGCCAACGCACTTTTCTGCATTGTGGTGCTATATGTGGGGGAGGGGTATGAGAGGGAACAGTCCTGCTTACTCAGGTTTCTGCTGGCTTTTAGTCACTTCCCCCGCTACCCACAAGCAAATTGGGCCCTTCTGGTGCTGATTCCCAGGTGGGTGGTTTTGTGTTGTTCTAGGACCTTCTGAGTCTCTCCAACAAACTCTCCAGTGAAGCTGGCAGTTTCTCCTGCTGCCTCAACCCCCACGAGTTATTTCAGTCAGAGGTTTTGAGGCTTTATTTCCCTGCGCTGGAACCCTGGCTTGCACAGTCTGTCTTGCTTCTGAGTTTTTCCACCCGGTTTATCCTCTTGCAAATCCACTACTTGGTTCACTAACTGCTGCCTTGTCTTGAGTCCTCGCCACCTGGCTGCCCATCTCCACCCCTCCTACCAGTCTGGATGAATGTTTCTTCTTTAACTCTTTGATGTTGAACTTCCATACAGTTTTATTTTCTGGCAGTTCTGGTTATTTTTTTGTTTCTAAACTTGTTATCCTTCTTTTAGTTGTGCAAGGAGGCACAGTGTGTCTACCTAGGCCTCCATCTTGGCTGGAAGTCTCTGATCCAAGAAATTATGTAATGTTTATTTATGGCAGCAACAATTTTTAGAAGCAAGTGAAAGGAATTGGGGTTGGGTCTAGTGTTCCAAGTCCCACCTCTTTCCTGGCTCAGAGCAAATCCCAAAGTCCAGGCACAGTACTCTCCTGCAGAACTATGCATAAGCAACTTTGTTGCAACCCACTTCTCCCTGACACTGTCCATGGAGTTTTCCCAGTGTCATTGACCAGGAGGAAGCAAACCTGGGCACAGAAGCCTGAGGACAGAAAACTGCAGCAGGACCTGACTTTCAGACATTTATGAAGAGTTTTAATGTGCCTTATTCTCCTCAGCTTGGTGTTTGAATGTTATCATCATTCCTGTTTTAGTAGTGACAAAACTGAGTTTTAGATTTCCCAAACAGGAACTGATAGGTCTAAGTAAGAACTCCAGTCTTTAAGATACCACCAGGAAAAGCTGTTCTTACTGAAAAACACAAGTCAGTGGATGCAGTTAAGGATAAAAAAGAATGTGTCGGACATTCTAACCAACAATTATGCATCTTAGTTTCTGCAGTTTTTTTAATTCAAATAGTTTTTCCTTTTTATTTTTCCAGTACCATATAGTCACCTTATACTCCCCTGCATACCATAATCACCACACTGTTGTCCATATCTATGATCCTTTTTCCTTTTTGCTCAATTCTTCTACCGCCCCTTAACATCATCCTACTCTCTATTTATGAGTCTCTCTGTTTTGCTTATTAGTTCAGTTCATTAATTAGATTCCACATCTGAGTGAAATCATACGATATTTGTCTTTATCTGATTTATTTCACTTAACATAATGTTTTCCAGGTCCATGCATACTGTCACAAAGGGTATAACTTTCTTCTTTTTTATGGCAGAATGGTATTCATTGTGTCAATGTTCCATAGTTGTTTTATCTACTCATCTACTGATGGACACTTGCACTACTTCCATATCTTGGCAATTGTAAATAATGCTGCAATGAACATAGGGGTGCTTATGTTCTTTCAAATTAGTGTTTTGGGTTCCTTTGGATATATTCCCAGAAGTGGGATCTCTGGGTCAAAGGGCAGAGATCCTTTTGGATCCATTTTTAATTTTTTGAGGTATCTCCATACTGCTTTCCACATTGGCTGCACCAATCTGCATTCCCACCAATAGTGCAAAAGTGTTCCTCTTTCTACATATCCTCACCAGCACTTGTTTATTGATTTATTAATGACAGCTATTCTGAAAGGTGTGAGATCATAATTCATTGTGGTTTTACTTTGCATTTCTCTGATGGTTAGTGACGTTTAGAATCTTTTCATATGTCTATTGGTCATCTGTATGTCCTCTTTGGAGAAGTGTCTATTCAGGTATTTTGCTCATTTTTTAATTGGGTTGTTTGTTTTTGGTGTTGAGTTTTGTAAGTTCTTTATAAATTTTAGATATTAACCCCTTATCAGATGTATTGACAAATATGTTCTCCCATTCTGTGGGTTTTCTTTTTATTTTTGTTGATGTTTTCCTTTCCTGTGCAAAATAGTTTTATGTACTCCCATTTGTTTATTTTTTTCTGTTTCTCTTGCCTGGGAAGATATATCTGATAAAATACTGCTATGAGCTATGTCCAATATTTTGCTATTTTTTCTAGGACTTTTATGGTTTCAGGTCTAACATTTAAGTCTTTAATCCATTTTGGATTTATTCAGGTGTGGTATAAGGAGGTGGTCTAGTTTCATTTTTCTGCACATATCTGTCCAATTTTCCCTACACTATTTATTGAATAAACTATCTTTAGTCCATCATATGCTTCCTTGCTTGCTTTGTCTGTTGAATATTATTCCTGGGCTCTCTATTCTTTTTTTTTAAGATTTTTTTTTAGAGAGGGGAAGGGAGAGAAAAGAGAGGGAAACATCAATGTGTGGGTTCCTCTCACACACCCCCTACTAGGGACCTGGTCTGCAACCCAGACACCTGCCCTGACTGAAAATCCAACCAGTGACTCTTTGGTTTGAAGGTCAGCACTCAATCCACTGAGCCACACCAGCCAGTTCTGTTCCTTGGTCCATGTGTCTGTTTTTATGCCAGTACCATGCTGTTTTGGTTACTATGTATGTAGTCAAGGGTGAAAGAGAATGTTGGACATTTTGGCCAACAACTGTGTAACTTTGTTTTGTTTTTTACAGTTTGAAACTTAAACCTGTTTCCAGAGGCCCTCATTCATGACATGGTCTGTGTGAATGGTGCCCCCCTGGATGTCACAACTTGCTCAGTTGTAAAGTACAAGTAAACAGGGATCACTCAACATGCTGAGAAAGTTGTGCTTTGGCACTAGATTAGCTGAGTAGGGTGATGCTTTCAAGTCCCCTTGAAGTGTCCTAACTCTCTGACCCTGCCCTCCCATGGATCAGTGAAGAAGTCTCTCCCCTAGGATGTATTTCTCCCTAATAGTGGAAGAAGCAGAGAGCAGCCACTTGGGGCAGCAGAGCCTAAACTCTGTTGGGCAGATTTTCAGATTACTTGAAAAGTCTACGGGAAGGTCATGGTTAAGAATGTTACTATATTTTTTTGTAATATAATATTTTAGATATAGACAGAAAAACCTCTCCTTGAAGCTTTCTTGTTCAAATTCTCACTCTCCTGTGATTTAAGTGTTATGTGGTGTGGGCCTGAGGGAGAATCACCCTTCCCTCACTGAAGGGTCCCTGAGATGGAGTGCCTGAGCCCATCCTTCCAGCAGATCACTGTGTGGTTGTTTTCAAAATGCTGGTCTCACCCATTAGTGGATTGTGAAATCAGTGCAATGGGTCACATTTTTCTCTAATGGGAAGGCATGGGCAAGAATCAGCACATCCTGTATAGTAAAAGTAACTTGTATTGTGAAACCTTTGTTTCAATTATATGTTGGTTGGTATCTTTCCTGGTTCACAAAATAAAATGTTTTCCTACTGTGGGTCATGGTCAAAAATATTTGAAAATTGTTCTGCACCCCAGCAGAGAGTGTTCTTCTCATGCAGTCATAACTGGCTATAAAGTGGGGAGGGAGTCCTGGAACACCACTGGGGAGGGACAGCAGGCTATGTCTTTAAGTCCTGGGCCTTCCTTCTCCCTAGGGCCGTATCACTGAGGCTATGCCTCAGGATCTCTCCCTGCGTGCAAACAGAGCCCTGTGCTGGCATCCCTACAAGGTTCTCTTTGAAGCCCCCCTCCCTTCTATAGGCCACACAGCTTGTGTTAGGTGAGGCACCAACGTTGGGGAAGGGTTTGGTTTCATGAATTCAATTAGCAGATGTTTACTGTTGGGAACAAGAAAATTAAGAACTAAATGTGACCTTAGTAAACAGGAACCGCATTGTAGCTAAAAGGAACTAACAAGGGAGACAGAGTGCAGGATGTAGTTGAGCAAACGTCCTGTGTTGTGTAGATGTTCTCCCCTGGGTATGCTAGATAAGCAATGCTTTGTTTAGTTTTAAAAATTTGAATTTTACCTTGTTCCCACATGCGGTCTCTGTAAGCAAATAGCTAACTGCCACGTCAGCTTCTGTGAAACGCTTGCTTGCTCGCGCCAAAACCCCTATATAAGGACTTAGCTGTAAGCGCTCGGTGCGACTCTTGTCTGCAGCCCTTGTGGGTACCGTGTCTCCGGACACTTTGAGAGTTTGCCCCTGCGCAGGTTAAACTTGGCCAATAAAGCAACATCTTTGATACCCTGAAAGTCTCCGATATTTGTTCTCACGTTTGTTGGATGCAACATTGGATGTTGGATGCAACATTTACCAAGCAACTGCTAAGTGCTAGATGCATATGACCAAATACACTAGAAAAATTAGCTTATGTCATGGTATACAAATCAATCAACTTTTTAATGCATTTTTGGGTTTGGAGTGTGTGATTGTACCTTTGGGACTAATCATGGACTCAGCTCACAGGTTAATAAAAGCACTTATATCAAATGGACCTGCCAAATATCAGGTTAGTGTCTTCCACACAGACATTCCTCCTTTTTTCTACATGAGACATTATCACTTCTGAAGGAAATATTCAAAGAAGCTATTGCACAGCATCTCTTAGGAGCCAAAAGCACCGTGTACCAGGTCTTCATGGGGACATGAGAGCAGCATGTTAATGATGTTTAAAGTTTGAACACAGCCTCTCCTGGCCATTTCTATTCATGTTATAGAACATATGCCAGAATGTGGAAGCTTTTTGTATACTAGTGATAGTGATTGAACAGGTCAAGTGTTTTAAATGGTGCTTTAAAAAAGGCTTTCCTTAAACATAGATGTAAGGCAATTTGTAATTGTGAGCCAACTTTCTAAAGATTCTGAACTCTAAATATTACACAGACCTTGGTCATCTCTGAGCAACCTTCCAATATCAGCTTTTCATTTGTCATACAACAAGCATGAGCTCCACGGGCATGCTTTGTGGTCACTCAGTGTCTCTCAGGCTCTGTGTAAGATGTAAGGAAGTGGCAGAGGCTAACTCCACTCGAAAACTTCTTAGGAAGGCAGCACACACCTTTTGAAGACTAATGGACTCCTGTGTAATTTTAAAGGCTAAAATGTGCCAGCCAGAATATGAAAACTGAATGTGGGCTGGAGCCTCTTTTGTGGCAATTAGTGTGTTACATGGTGGTGGCTATTTCCCAGGAGTTGTAACTTGCTTCCTAAGAACAGACTGTTTTATTTCCCCTTGGAATCTCTTGCCTAGGTAAACAATGTATGTTGAATTCAGCTGGATGCAAAGGAGGGGACAAGAATCTGTACCCCAGGACCAACAGATGAAGGCTGAGCTATTGGATGACTAAAATGTGTGTTCTGTGACTAGCCAGCACAAGGGAAGGCACAAGATAGGAGCAAAAAGGGCACACACAGGGAGAGAGTGCTGAAGGAAGTAGACGAAGGGCCTTGCAGGAAAAAGGAGAGGGGAAAAGCAAGAGTACCTGGTGTAACCAGGAGCTGGAGTCTACAAAACACCTCACCATGGAGGGTCGGGTAGAGCCTGAGCCTGAGAGGCCAGTTGAAACCAGTTGAGACCAATTGTCTGCCATAATCTAGGCATAAGGCAATCGTGGGTTAGTCTGGTGACACTGGAGCAATTACTACGATATTCAACACATCCTCTTGCTAAGACCTCTAAGCTATGTTGTGGTGGCCTCAGAACAGCCAGTTTCCCTTTCCCTGTCCTTAATCCTCAGCCCTAGGCATGCCCTCCTGCATCTGTACCAGGACCACAGTTTGTCATCTCTTCTCTCACCTTTGCAATGTGTGTGCATGTTCCGAACATCTGAAAATGTTCTAAGTTCTACTACTTGTGATGATGGGGGACAAAAAAAATTATAAGCAAGTATATGCAGATTCCAAGATTACAATGTCTTAATTTGACTGTTCATACCTGAAACACAAATAGAGCCAAATGTGATCTTTCTTTGATTCTGTCTCACTCCCACAATAATAGGAGGTCAGATACCTTCCCTCTGGAATTCTAGAGTAATGGTTCTCAAATTCTCCAGAGCAGTGATTTTCAACAGGTGTGCCTCCAGAATTTTCAAAACATGCAATGCTATTTAGTCAGGGGCACTGACCTCTTTTTCCTTAAATCGTCAAATTTTAAAAAGGACAACAGCCAACACAACAACTGTCTGGAATGAATGAATTGATATACATGTTTTTGGTGTGCTGCAAAATTTAACTAATTAGTTTATGTGTGCCATGAGATGAAAAATGTTGCTCTAGAGCATGCATAAGAATCACCTGGAGGGTGGGTTAAAACAGCAGTCCCTAACCTTTTTGGTTCCAGGGGCTGTTTCATGGAAGACAATTTTTCTTCGGACCGCAAGGGGTTGGGGAGGGGACTGGTGGAGGTAGGAGAGATAGGGTTCTGGGGATTGGGGTTGGGAAGACAGGAGGTAATGTGAGCAAAGCTTAGCCTGCAGCTCACCTCCTGCTGTGCAGCCAAGTGCCTAACAGGCTACAAACTGGTACTGGTCTTTGGCCTGGGGTTTAGGGACCTCTGGGCTAAAACACACTGCTGAGCTGTACTGTGAAGGAGAGGCAGTTCCATGACACAATCACCATCTGTCCCCAGGCCAGAATGGACATTGTTTTCTGCAAACCACCCTTAGAGACTGTCTGAGGGTAACTCATGTTCATTCTGACAAATAAGCATCCCTCCCCTGCCTCCTGCTATGTGTTGATTCCTAGAACAAGTTCCTGGTTTGGTCAAGCATGTAAAGTAATTCCTGTACCTGCTCACATTAACATTCTTGTACCTATGACTATCCACACCTTTACCTTACATAATTTTCTAGCACCTGCCAAGAAGTGAGGGGCCACTTTGTACTGTATTTGCCCAAGGCACCTTGTACGTAAGCTTCCCTTAATAAACTCTGTTAATCGCCACACTGAAGTGGCCAGCCCCTTTCTGCAGTCTTTCCCTGCCTTCTACTTTCAGAGGTAGATTTTGAGTCTCAGGTTTTTCCTTGGGTCCTTGTATATGAACATCTACCCCCACAGTTTCTGATCCAGAAGGTCTGGGTTGGGGCCCTAGAATGTGCATTTTTCTCAAGTTTCCAGTGGTGCTGATCCTGGTGGTCTGGAACCATCCTCTGAGAACCTCTACTGTAGATTGTTGCTATAGGAAATGTGATCCATGCACAGACCAGAAGCATTAGCATCACCTGGAATCTTGTTAAAATGTAGATTTTTCAAGCCCTACCCCCAAACCATTAGATGTTTCCAATAGGCTCCACACCTCCAGCCCAACAAACAGACCTTGTGTTTCTCAGCGCACTCCAATTTAAAGGCTTGGCTCAGAACTTCCTGTGCAGCTGAACATCTGGCTCTTTCTATGGTCCATTAGTGTCCACCATTTTTGTCAGCTCCCCAGTGTCTTTGACCCTCTTTCAGCTGCCATCTTTAGTCAGGGCAAAAGTATCCTAGCCACACACATGCATCCATGGTGGGCATCTGGCCCCTGCAGCTCAGGCAGGCACTGTATGAACTCTCCCCCACCTCTAAATCATGAATCACTCTGCCCTGGGCAACAGCCTTCTTCCGCAGCCCCTCCTTCAAGAAGGCACGGGTTCTTAATCTTCCTTTGTTATGCAATGTTCATCAAATAGTGTGCCTTCCAATGTGTGGATGTTCTTCCCTTGCCCCCTCTGGCCTTTTTCCAGACTTGGGGGATGGTGGGGTTCCCCTGCTTTCCAAGTGACCCATGCTATGACCAACTCCACTACAAGGTGACATCCTGTGAGATAGAAAATTAATTTGTTTGATGGTGGAGCAAAGGTATACATACAGGCCACCATAATGAGGTGTTGTTACGGAACAGACCCGAGGTGGGGGCGAATGGACCCACCCTTGTGCTCCAGGGGTCCCCCCCCCGTACTAGGTTCACCTTACCTGTCACCAGGGAAAGACATCTCTCAATGCCAGAGACTGGTGAAAAGGAAAGGGATTATTTATTTAAGAAGTTATACTTAGAGTAAGGACTTAATGTCTTCATTAAAAATACTAAAGTCCTTTAGAATACCCACAAATGCACAGTCCTTCCTTTTCCCCTTTGCCCAGTCCGGGGTACTGTATCTCAGGGAAAGAAGTAAAAATCCATGGTTCAGGCAGCCCCTCAGTTCTGGCACCATCAGCTGTGTCTCTGCCACATTCTCCAGTTAATCCAAAACCATGTGGCACCTTATCATGGTCCACCATCAAGAATCCTTTCACCCCTTTTCTTTAAGGAAAATCTCTCCTGCTTCCTAAACCACGTGGCAAAAAGGGCATACCCTAAAGCTGCATGATCCCAAAAAGTCCCATCATGGCTGCTATGCCTGGGTTGAAATCCCAGTGTCAATCTTCCTCTGCAGCCCCATTTCCAGCTCCTCCCACAATCAGTTACACCTGCCAGCATTCCCATGGCAGCCCTTTACTGGGCTGCCATAGTAAGTTCAGGCAGGTGTGGCCCCATGGCATGGAGCCAGTCATCTCCAAGCTCTCATGCAGGTGCTGTAACCAGGGGGAGTTGCCTCCCAGTTACATCCTGGGTTGAAGTCATCCCTATTCCCCTGGCTCAAAGCAAGGCCACAGCTATTTAACATATCTATGAAACCAGTTAAAGGCTATATAGATATGTTAAATGACTATTCTAGAGGTTAGCTGCAAAACTGTTGCTATTCAAAACAGCTCTCAGTGGCCCTGCTCCATGTGTCCCATCCCTCAGCTGAGACTTGTGGAGGTGAGGACATCATATATATAAATTTTATATATATATATATATATATATATATATAATATTTCCTGGACACCCTGAGTTCTAGACCCCATTACAAATCCCCATTTGGGCCCCCCCCACTGGCTGCACCCAGTTATAGTGTCTTTAGACCAAAAGATGAAATAGGAAACTCCATAGAATGTAATAGAATTTATTATATGGTAATTTTCTTATGGAAAATTGGGTCTAAGCAGATAGCCAGCCCAGTTTTGCATAAATTATTCTCCACTAACAGACCTCTGTTATAGTACATTATTTACTCATATAGTTTAACTCGGGTACTAATTGAAAGGGTAAAGCCGGAGCCATTTACTATTGTGGCACCATTTGCTGAACAGGCCTGTGAGCTTGTTAAACTTGACTTCCATTTTACTCTTCTGAGGTTGTTCCCAGGACTGGAAATTACCAGAAAACAAGAACAGAA